GTTACAGTGGGTTCCGAGCCAGGCGTAGCTTCAAGACTGAAATAAAAGAGCTGGGGATGTCACTCGGTAGTGCAGCCCTGGGTTCAGTCCCCAGTACAACAGCCAAAAAGAATGGGTTCTGGCACCAGATTGCTTGGGTTTGAATATTAACTGTGCTAATTAACTAGCATATAAAATAAATATCTCTGTGCCTCATATCAGCAGTACTGGACCCTGTGCATGCTGGTTAAATGCTCTTCCACGGAGCTACATTCCCAGCCCTCATATGTTCATTTTAAAAATAGGAATTAGTGGGCTGGGAATTTAGCTCAGTGGTTCTGCCACCTGCCTCACAAGTGCAAGGTCCCGAGTTTGATCCCCAATACCAAAAAAAAAGGAATTAAGAGTATTGACCTCAAAACATCTGACAAAGATTCATTGATGTATGCTGCTGTGCTGAGTGTACAATAATTGCCACCAGTGTTTGTCTCTGTCACTATCACGGTGTTTTTACTAACAGTAGACTTAATAAGTGATAGATTGATATAGGAACTGTTTATGAACAGTGAAATATTAACTAAAGGTCTCCTTATACATAAAAATACCTCTTCCACTGGCAGACAAAAATATTGAGGGTTTTCTTTTTTTTTTGAGACAGGGTCTTACTATGTATTTCAGGCTCGCCTCAAAACCGGTGATCCTTGCAAGTGCAAGGCCTCAAGTTTGAAACCTGGTACCAAAAAAAAAAAAAAAAAACTGGTGATCCTCCTGCCTCAGCCTCCCAGAATGCTGAGATTACAGGCATGCGCCACTACAACTGCCTTGAGATGTTTTATAATCTTTTTATTCTGTCAAGCATCCCTTTTACAACTTAATTTCATATAACTTTGACTGCCAATTACACAGTTGTGGAGATGTGAGAAAAATGCCTGAATTCCCTTCCTACAATCTGCACAGTGCCGTGTCTAAAGCACAGCCTGCTCGCAGGCTTCACAGTGCACTTAGGCAACAGCTGAGCTTCAGGAAGGCTGGGCCCTCCCATAGCAGACAACCTTCGTGTGCCCCAGTCTGCAGGAGCCGCTCCAGCCTGCAAGCCTCCAGTTCCCTCCCAAGTGCACATGTGCGGGTCTGATTGCCGCTGTAATTTCACACACGCAGGCTGTTTATAACAGGTGGTGGCTGCGGGTGACTGGGGAGAGTGGCTCCACTCCAGATGACCTCAGAGCCCATCATCCTGGCAGCCATGGAGTTTCCCAGTGTTGGAGACAAACGCAGAGAAATGAGCAGGTGTGAGGGGCTGGCGTGTATTCTTTTCTCAGGTGGCTTTGTCCTTGCGAGGCCATAATTTCTGGCATACTTAGGAGTCCTGCTCAGATCAGTGAATGATCTGAAGTTTTTCATTCAAGGAAGGCTTTCAGTTTCAGCTGTGGGCCCCTGCCTCAGGCCTATCCTCTCCTGTCCCAATGTGAATCATGCCCCCGAGGCCTGGGTTACCCACCCCCAACCTCAGGGCTGCCAGCAAAGCATGTGGACTTCTGTTTGTTTTTGTTTTCATTTAATTTTAATTTTTATATGTGTTTCATTGTTTTTGCTGTTACCAGTCAGCTATTTTTGGCAGAACTGTAAGTGGGGCATGCTCACTCATGCACACAGTCACACTCCTTGCAGATTCTGTGGTAGTCCTAACAGGGCAGAGGGTCTCCCGCAGATGCTGCTGTCGTGCTCTGCCTCCCATCAGACCTGCCTCGTTCCTGGCCCTGGCACATGAGCCACAAGACCGCAGCCTCTGTGCTTTTGGAGGAGCCCTGAATGCACTGCCAAGCAGCCTTGGATTTGTCCTACCGGGATGACTTGCAGTTGTGGTCCACTTAGATTCTCAGTTGGGATCCTGGGGCCAGGAGGAAGATCCCAGGAAGCAGATGGACTGGAGCCCCAGGCTTTGCAGGGCGACCCAGAATCCTGAGCTCCACATGGAGGTGGAGCACCTGTGCTCACCTTGGGCCGCTGCGTTTGCTTATGGCAAGTAGAACGCTCACTGTTCTGAGTCTGAGATGTCACAGCAGAGTCTCTGGTGCTCAGCGGAGATGTGTGACACTTGACTAGGACAGGAGGAAGACTGTCGTTTACCACCAGAGTTTAAACTCTTTGCTTCCTCGTCACCCTGTGGCAGCCCTCCTGGGAACAGTGATGCAGTGTGGACGGTGTGCACTCGGGGACACACTGATGTGTCCTCTGTCATTGGAGTCGGTCTCCACCCAGGCTGCACAGAGTCCTTTCCAGCTCATGGCCATAGCTTTCTTGCTGGGCAGTGTCTGTCTTCCTCATTTCCGCATTCCATCCCAGTGGTTCATTTCTTCTTCCCTTCCTGTTTCCTTGGATTCCAGTCAGCTGGCTTCGAGGCATGGGATACAGACAGCCAAACACTTGGGCTTTGATCTGTAGTTGTTCCTTCATTTTTAGCCCCCAGAGATTGCCTTTATGCTCTTGTGAGTTTGGCTATGAATTAACCATTTATAAATATTTTACGTACTCAGGTATGGCAGCAAATACCTATAGTCCCAGCTACTTTTTTTTTTTTTTTTTTTTTGGTACCAGGGATTGAACTCAGGTCCTTGTGCTTGCGAGGCAGGCAGTGGAACCACTGAGCTAAATCCCCAGCCCCCAGATACTTTGTTTTACTTATTTATGTATTTTATTTATTTATTTTGAGACAGGGCCTTGCTATGTATTTCAGGTGGGCCTCGAACTCACTATGTAGCCCAGGCTGGCCTAGAACTTGGATGAACCTTCTGCCTCAGCCTCCTGCTGGGATTATAGGCATAAACTACCATGCCTGGCTTTATGTAATCATTCTGAAAATGAAAGAGCTTTGCATTTAGTAGGCATTAAAACATGAAATGCCAGTTTCTCTGGAATTACAGAGGAGTTTCAGTGAGTGTATGTAGAAGAAGTGGTAGAGTTAGGAAAGTGCCATTGTAAAACCCAGGATGAAACAATCCAGGTAGATACTGTGAGTGGATGCCAAAGCCACTATGTGAAATGATATATGTGCTGCCGAAGCGAGCTACTATGTGAAATGAAATGTCAAGGTGTTAGCCCAAAGAGTATGTCACTGCCCTGGATGAAATGGCCTTTAGGTTGGAGAGATTTTCAATCTCCAATTTATTTATTTATTTTTTTCGGTACCAGGGATCAAACTTAGGACCTTGCTCTTTCAAAGCAGGCATGGTGCCACTGAGCTAAATCTCTGGCCATATCCAATTTATTTGTATTTTTCTGGTTTTTTGAGATAGGGTCTTGCTATGTAGCCCAGGCTGGCCTCGAACCCACAGTGATCCTCTGCCTCAGCCTCCCCAGTGCTGGGATTACAAGTGTGCACAGCCACAGCGCAGTCTTAAGTGTGCACAAGGGGTGGAACTGAGCGTGGTGGTGGGGTGACGCCACGTGAGGGGATACAGCAGCAGGGTCAGAGAATCCCCAGGTTCCAGCAGAGCCCAGAACACTTAGCCCTGATCTTCAGCCTTCGCATGTGACTTCTAGCAGATGAAGTGGGCCAGTTCATTTGTGTTTCTATAATGAAATGCTTGCTGGGTAACTTTTAAAAAGAGGGTTTTTTTGTTTTTTTAAAAAAGAAGAGGTTCATTTTGCTCCCAGTTTTGGACGCTTAAGGTCCGAACAGCACAGTTCCAATCCTGGTGACTGCCCCCTGGCTACATCACCATACCAGGAGCCATTCTGAAAGAGTGGGATCAGGGGGTGACATCTGAAGCCAGAGCAAGGGGACAGGCAGCTGTGCTCTTTATAATAGCTCTCAGCAGGGCCTGTAATTCCAGGTGCTTGGGAAGCTGAGACAGGAGAATCATCTTGAGTTTGAGGCCAGCCTGGGCTACATAGTTCAAAGCCCTCAAAACCCTCTTTCCAAAACAGAAAGAAAGAGACAGACAGACAGACTAGCCTGACCTGTGAAGAGGGGAGCCAGGAAAAAGGGCTGGCGAGCCACTGTGGGGGAAGAGGAACATGAGGCCACAGGGGCTGTGGCTGGAGGACCTCCTCTCCTGCAGACCGAGGGGTTCCACGGCCTCCGAAGCCTCTGCTCCTCAGAGGCAGCTCCACAGTGGACGCTGCAGGCATCAGACACTGCCTCCATCAGGTATTCGTCCCCAGCTCCCTGGGGGCTCTGACAGCAGGGCCCTGGAGTCCTCTAGAGTTCCAGGGCTCTTCCAGCCTCCTTTACTTTTTTTGTTTTTGTTCTGAAAATGGGTTCCTGCACTTCCTGGAGGTGCCAGCTGTTCTCTTTTTTCCTCGGGGGGAGGAGGTGTACTGGAGATTGAACTCAGGGCCTTTGCACTAAGCTACATCCCCAGCCCTTTCAAGATTAATATTTTTGGCCAGGCGTGGTGGTGCAGGCCTGTATTCCCAGCATTCCAGAGGCTGAGTCAGGAAGATAGCCACAAGTTCAAAGTCAGCCTAAACTATACAGCGATACCCTGTCTCCAAAAAAAAAAAAAATTAATACTTTTTATCTTTCAGTAGGGTCTCAGGGGTAGGGATGTAGCTTAGGGACAGAGTGCTTGCCTTCCTTGTACAGGGCCTGGGTTCAATCCCCAGTCCTGCAAAAAAAAGGGGGTCATGGGCCGGGGATTTAGCTCAGTGGTTTCGCAGCCTGCTGCACAAGCGCAAGGACCTGAGTTTGGTCCCCAGTACCAAAAAAAAAGGGGGGGGCTCTTGCTAAATTGCTATAGTGCCCTAGCTGTGCTTGAACGTGTGCCCTCCTGCCTCAGCCTCCCAGAGTCCTAGGATTACAGGCATGTACCACCACACCTGGCCTCAGGCTATTACCGGGACCTGGGGTACTTTGGGCTTCTTCTAGAGATTCTTTTTCTTTTTGGTACTGGGGATCAAACTCGGGACCTTGCGCTTGCGAGGCAGGCGCTGGAACCACTGAACTAAATCCCCCGCCCTTCTAGAGATTCTTTACAGCTTCTTGTTCTAAACAAAGAATTGGACAAGCACAAAAGGTAGCAAGTTTTAATATTTATTAAAGGTAGGAAAAGAAGTGCACTCTGCAGGGAGAGAGTGGGTGCTGAAAGAGACAGCACAGTGGCCATCAGGTTAATGGCCACAACCTTTTGTCTCCATTCCTCAGGCTGACAACAGATCTAGGCTGTCCTACCAAAAACCTGCTTGATCTGATACCAGAATTGAAGATAGTGCTTTCTGATTGGTCCCAGTTACAGGGCTTGGTGTCTTCTGTGCATGCTTCCTGGGTCTCTGTGATTGACAGCCCCCCCCCCCCCCCCCCCCCTCGCCCAGTTTGTCTCCTACCTCCTGGGCACGTCTTCCTGAAGAGATAGTACAATCCTGGTTGGATGGTCCTCTCTGAGCCAGTTTAATTTCCATCAAAACTCACTTCTGATCTAGCAGATAATTCAATGTCTTCGAAAGAAATTGCGAGTATCTCTCCTACCAAACTGGGTGATTAAATCAGCCCACGTAGGATGCAGTGGGATCCACCCCCCTCAGGCAGTTCCTCTGACAAGAGGGTGTCCCTGGGATTTAGGTCAAAAAGTCTTGAAAAAGTGAAGTCCTGAGTGTGAATGTCAGTACCAAACTGCTGACAGCATTATGGGTTTCCCTGGAAGGTTCCCCCCACATCTGCTCATTGTCAAACTGTTCCAGAATGTTCTGAACATCCTCTCCCCTCTATAGTCCTCCTCCCTTCTTCCCTTCACTATCCTCTTCCTCAAGTGCAGAAGCAAAACCCAGTCAAAAGCAATTGGAACTGATGTGGTGGTGCATACCTGTAATCTCAGCACTCATGAGGCTGAGGTGGGAAGCTTGCCATGAGTTCAAGGCCAGCCTAAACTACACAGTGAGACCCTGTCTCAAACAAAAAGAAAAGCACTCGGAGTGTGGGAGAGACAGAAAAGGGAAAGGGGCAGGATAAACCACACCCTCTCCCCTGGGCCTGCAACCCTGGTTCACTAAGGCTTGAGGAAACTGGTGGTCTCCCTTTCCCTTGGCATCTGCGGTGGGAATCCAGGACCTCTGGCTGCCCTCTCAGGCCAGAGCCTTAGGGAGGTGAGGCAGAGCTGCTCCAGGACCCGCAGTGCCACCCCAGGGACGCCACGACTGCTGGTTCCCTACAGGCCTGGCCGATCGCTCAGCAGGTGCAGCCAGGCTTCTTGCCAGGCGCCTGGGCCAGGAGCACTGGGCTGGACTCGGGGGCGAGGCTGTGTGTGGCACCCTCGCCATACAGCTGCAGGCTGTTGCGGGCCATCAGCTCCTTGGCCATCAGCATGAAGGCCTCATCGATGTTCCTGGACTCCTTGGCGGATGTCTCCAGGACGGCGAGGAGCCCATACTTCTCAGCCAGTGTGCAGGCGTCCTCGAACAGCACGTGCCGCTTCTGCCACAGGTCTGATTTGTTTCCTAGGGGCAAGGACAAGGACACAGCCCACTCAGTGACCTAGCCCATCTGGGGTTTGAAATGAATGTGAAAAAGAACATTTTAAGCCAGGTGTGGTGGCACACACCTGTACAGAATCCTACACTCTGGGAGGCTGAGGCAGGAGGATGGCAAGTTTGTGCCCAGCCTGGGTAGTTTGGGGACTTAAGCAAGACCCTGAGAGATTGGCTTGCAGTCTGTAAGATATTTAAGAACTGGGAGGAGTCGGAAGGGAGGTGTGTATGTTACTGGCTGGGACAGAATGGCCAGTGTGTCTCCATCAGTCTTCCCTCTCATCAGATCTGGCTCCTCTGCACTCATTTTTCCCAAATGCTAGGCTATTGGATGCTGTGTGATGGGGCCGTCAGCTGAGGAGAGAGCAGGATTTGCTGGGCTGGAGGTGCATAAGGAAAAGCTTTTTCTATACCTATAATTTACATAAAAGGTGCAGACTCAGTGTACAGTTCAGTGAGCTTTGTTGAATGTATCTGCTAGCGTGCATGCATGATGCCCTGGGTTCAATCCTCAACACTTGAAAAACAATGTCTGGGTGTGGTGGTGTATACTTGTAATCCTAGCACCTGGGAGGCTGAGGCAGAAGGACTGCCTCAAATTGGAGCCCAGCCTAGGCTACATAGTAAGTTCAGTGACAGCCTGAACTACATAGCAAGACACTGTCTAAAAAATAAAAGAAAATAAAAAAGAAAACTAATGTTACCCAAATGAAATCATATAGCATGTACCTTCTGAGACTGGTTTTTTTCACCCAGCCTAATTTCCTTGAGAGTACCCAGGTTGTATCAGCAGTTCATTTTCAGTGTATCAGTGGTAGTTTTTATTGCTGCATAGTTGTAGATGTACAGTTTGTTTAACCATCCACTATTTGAAGAATACTGAGGTAGGTGGTTCTAGCTTGTTTTCTGTGGCAGTGGGGTTTGAACTCAAAGGCTTGCACATGCTAGGGGAGTCCTTTACCCCTGATCTATATCCTCAGAACTTTTTTTTTATTTTGAGACAAGTCTCATTACCTTGGCCAGGCTGGCTTTGAACTCAAGATCCTCCTGCTTCAGCCTCCCAAGTATCTGGGATTATAGGTGTGTGCCACCAGACCTGGCTAAAATCCTGAGACAGGGTCTTCCTAATTTCCCCAAGCTATCCCTTTTTTTTTTTGGTACGGGGGATCAGACTTGGGTCCTTCCACTTGCAAGGCGAACCACTGAGCTAAATCCCCGGCTATTTATTTATTTATTTATTTATTTTTGGTACCAGGGATTGAACTCCGGTCCTTGAGCTGTCGAGGCAGGCAGCAGAACCACTGAGCTAAATCCCCAGCCCAGCTATCCTTGAACTATTGAGTCTCCTGTCTCAGCCTCCAGAGTAGCTGAGGTTGTAACTGGGATTACAGGCTGGGCTGCACATGCTTCTGTCAGTTTTGACCCTGGTCTGTGGTTAAGAGTGCTCAGGGTCACAAAGGCTGTGAGTCTTCACTCACTAGCCATCCACACTCAGCTGAGTAGCTGCAGGGGTGTGGGAGGATACCTGCTGTTAAATGCAGACCCTGTGTGGTCTACATAGCACCTGTGCCTGCAGTGACCTGGGGTGTCCTTCACAGAGCCATCCCCACCCATCCCAGTCCCCCCACCATGGGAAACTGGGACGGGGGTGAGAAACCTGCATTTTGTTTTGTTTTTTGAGACAGGGTCTTGCTGTACAGTCAGGCTGGCCTCAAACTCACAGTGTTCCTCCTCCCTCAGCCTCCCGAGTGCTAGGATTACAGGTGTCCACCATTACATCCTGCAGAAATCTGTGTTTTTATACCAGGTGTTTTTTTTTTTTTTTTTTTTTTTTTAGAAATCTGTGTTTTTAACAAGTTGGCATACCCACTCGCTCTCTCCTGGGATTCTCCGGGGAATTTCTGGGCATGGTGCTGTCTGAGGCCCCACCTGTGGCTTGTGTTTTTAAGATTTTTCGATCCATTGCCACAGAACCCTGGCGACAAGCTAGAGTCCCCAGAGGGACCAGAGAGAAGAAGCTAACTGCTAGGATCAGCCTACCGATCAGCATGATGACCAGGTTCGCTGCTCCGTATTTCTCTACCTCATGGATCCAATTCGGGACTGACTCGAAGGTGGACCTCTGTGTGAGGTCATAAGCAATGATGGCTGCGTGTGCACTTCGGTAGTAGCTCTGTGTGATGGTTCGGAATCGCTCCTGGCCCGCTGTGTCCCACACCTGCATCTGCAGAAAGCAGGGGAGAGTCTGCATCAGGCATGGCCAGCAAAACAGGCCTGATCACCTCAGCCACTTAACATTGTTTCCTGGAGCAGCTCGTGGTGCTCTAGGCCTGTAATCCAAGCATCCTTTGGGAGGCTGAGGCAGGAGGATTGCAAGCTCTCAGCCTAGGTAATTTAGCAACTTGGTGAGACCCTGTCTCTTCTTTTTTTTTTTTTTTTTTGAGACAGGGTCTTGCTATGTAGTCCAGGCTATCCTTGAACTTTCTATCTAGTCCAGGCTGTCTTCAAACTTGTGGCAATCCTCCTGCTTCAGCCTCCCAAGTGCTGGGATTACAAATGTGCGCTACCATACCTGCCTGACCATGTCTCAATATTTTAAAAAATACAAAAGGGCTGGCAATGTAGTTCAGCCGAAAGGCTCTGGGTTCAATCTCTAGGGTAAAAGAATTCAGTGTGAGGCAGGGTGGAAATGTGTCCTTTTTCTTGCTCTCTGGGTGCCCTAGATGAGTGTGCTGTCAGATTGAGAGCCGCCACCTCAGCTAAGGGACACGCCCAGGAGAGGAAGCCAGATCCACCCCAGGGGCTCCGCTCTGACTTTTCTCCTAACCATCCCTTGGTCCAGATTTTGGAGTTCATTTACAAGCCTGCCCATAGGTAGCAATTCTGGCAAAGGGGATGACACTGGCTGGATTGTCTGAATAAGGACCACTGAAGTGTCCATTTCTGAAGTGTCCTTGTCACCTTCCACACCCTGCAGTCCTGGGCAGCAGCGCCAACTCACACGCCTCGATAGTGTCAGAGGACACAATTTCTGCGTCCTCTCGCATCCTCAGTGTGAATGTGGCCCTTGAAAGAAAGTTGGCAAACATACACCACACCGGAGCAGAACGAAAGTCAGCACACACTCAGACTCTCTGTGTAGCCCAGGCTGGCCTCAAACTTGTGGTGATTTCCTTTCTTTGGCCTCATGAGTGCAGGGATTATAGGTGTGCACCGTCACACTCGGCGTTACATCCTAGATTTATACAGAGATGCCCATCACTCTCAAAGAAGTATAAATTAAAATGATAGTGAGGCAGGGCCGAGGATTTAGCTCAGTGGTTCCGCCACCTGCCTCGAAAGTGCAAGGACCCGAGTTTGATCCCAGTACCAAAAACAAAACAAAACAAAATGATAGTGAGACAATTATCTTTTATGCATTCAATTTGAAAAATCAGCTTGGGAGGATGAGGGCTACATAGTGAGACCCTGTTTCAAAAACAAACAAAAAGTCAATAAAAAAGATTAAAAAACTGTTGACTCCAAAAAACTAAAAAAAGAAAGAAAAAAATTATTGAAAATCATTGGGATCCTGATGAAATAAGAACAACTGGCCAAGTGTGGTGGTACAGGCCTGGAAACCCCACACTTTGGGAGGCTGAGGAGTATGAAAGTTCAAGCCTGGGTAACTTGTTTTTTGTTTTTTGGGGGTTTTTTTGGTACTGAGGATCGAACTCGGGTCCTTGCACTTGTGAGGCAGGCAGTGGCACCATTGAGCTAAATCCCAGGCCCAGGCCTGGGTAACTTTTGAGACTCTGTCTCCAAATAAAAAATAAAAAAAGTTGGGTGGCCAGGGATTTAGCTCGGTGGTTCCGCCTGCTTGCCTCGAAAGCGAAAGATCCCTGATACCAAAAAAACAAACAAACAAGAAAAAGGACATTTTGGGCCAGGGATTTAGCTCAGTGGTTCTGCCACTTGCCTTGCAAGCACAAGGACCTGAGTTCGATCCTGGTACCAAAAAAAAAAAAATGCTGGGGATGTAGCTCAGTGTGAATGTACTGTGTTCAATCCACAGTACTTAAAAAAGGAAAGAAAGGAAACTAAAATGACATTTTGGAAGCCAAGTGTGGTGGCACACGCTGGTAATCCCAGCACACTGGAGGCTGAGGCAGGAAGGTCACTGAGTTCAAGACCAGCCTGAAATAGTGAAATCCTGTTTCAAAAAAAGAAAAAAAAGCTGGGGAGCTCAGTGCTAAGGCTCAATGTTGGGCAAAAAAGTGAAAGGAAGGAAGAACGAAAAGAAGGAAGGTAGCCCTTTGTCAGTTTCGCATGACAAGTGCTCCTTTCCACTTTGTCACCCTTCTCCAGACCCCGGGGCATCTCCTGTGTGCAGCACATCTGACCTTTAGGGAGACCCTCCTGTTCTCCTTGCACCTGCATTCCTGTATGGGGAGAGGCCTTGTCCCCGATCTGGGGACACAGCGGCAGAGCCAGACCAGCACCCTCACCTTCACTCTCTTGCCGTCGATGTCAAGGGACCGCACGGTGAAGTCCACGCCAATAGTGTTGTGCTGCGTCTCAGTGTAGACCCCGGACCGGAAGTGCTGCACCACGCAGGTCTTCCCCACATTGGAGTCCCCAATGAGGATGACCTTGAACAGGTAGTCCACGTCCTCATCCGCAGCTCTGGCAGAGCTGGGGAACTGCATAGCTTGGTCACCTAAAACAGACCTGCCGTGGGCACCTGTGAGGCACCAGCAGAGGAAGAAAGAGGGCAGTCACGGCTTTCACAGTGCAGCATCCTTGGCAAGGCGTGGCGGCGCATGCTTGTCAGTCCAGTGCTCAGGAGACTGAGGGAGGAAGATCGCCACAGGTCCGAGGCCAGCCTGGGCCACATAATGAGGTCAAGGCCAGCCTGAACTACAGAGTGAGACTCTGTATAAAAAATAAATAAAGTAAAAAAGACTAACTGATGCTTAGATATTGCCAGTTGCAAAGAACCCACACCTCCTGAAAATAATCCATTTTCATGGGACAGCTCCAACTTCTGGGAGTGAAATCTGTCTCTCTGGGCTTCCCATCTGTCCAGCCCAGAGCACCCCTGGCGCCACCACATTCCTCCACATTCCTCTTCCTCATGACAGGCAGCTCATCAGATCTTTGAGGCAGCAGAACATTCCCTTCGGTGAATAGCCCTAGTCGCTTTCACCATGCTTCATATGATACTGATTTGGCCTCTTCGTCAAGGTCATGAGAACAAATCTTATCCCTTTGATAATTAGTTTTGTTTGTTGAGAGGGTCTTGATATGTGGTTCAGGCTGGCCTTGAACTCAGCAATCTTCCTGCCTCAGCCTCCTAAGGGCTGGGATCACAGGCATGCACCACCACACCCGGCTGATAATTAAATTTGATGTGCTGTAATAACTCTCGCCTTATGACACCTTTCTTCATTTCCTCCAGATTTATTTTTCAGTTTTTCTCTAACATCATAGGAAAGACCAAGTCTGTATCATCACATGAATTAAAATGTGCACAAATATTGAATCTGCATGTAAACCCTTGGGCTTTTGAGGGTTGAAGAAGGGTCCCCTACCTCTCCTGTCTGCCTGTGAAATCACAGATGGCTGAATGACCCCGCAGACAAAAGACACAATCAAAGCATTATTTTTTCCTGACATTTTAACTGAAGAAAGCCCTTCTACTTCCGGTGTTTTATTACTGCAACTTGAGCGGAAACCTTACTTCTGTGTCCCTTCTCCCCTCCCCCCAGCAAGCCCCAGGCTTTCCCCAGAGCAGATTCTGACTCAGCCTGCACACCCTTAAGGAGAAATTGAGCCCCTGCCCGCCCTGTGACCCCTACATCCCACGTCCCCCGCCTTCGCCTTCCTGGCTCACCTGTGGCTCACCTGCCTCCCCCCTCACAAGCAGGTAATGTCTGCTTTGGCGCCTGGCTTCCCGTGCAGCCCTCAGCTCCCCTTCTTCCTCCCGCCTCGCTGCGTGGTGGGAACTGTAGTCTGGTCCCAGGTGGCAGGTCGGGTGGCCTGAGAAAGTGAAAGTTGCAGGCCCTCCCAGCCGGGGCCAGGAGCTGAGGCGAATCTTGCGGCGTGAGGCGCTACCCTGCGCACCCAGCCAGCACACAAAAGCAGCCGGTGCACCGACCAGTACCTGCTCGCTGCTCTCCTTTTTTCTCCTTCACAGTACTGGGCCTTGAATTCAGGGCCTTCACACTGCGCTACAGCCCCAGCTCTTCTTCGCTT